AAAATGCTCCAGTAAACATGCCTAACTATTTTCTTGGACTCATGTGCACCAGAAGTGAACTTCCTGGTTTATACGATATGGGCATCTTCAGCTTTAGTAGATTTTGCCAAATTGCTTTCCAATGTGGCTGAAATGATTTGTACTCCTATAGCAGTGTAAAAAGTTCCCATATTCCTCTAAAACTTGGAATCGTGTTGTCAGACTTTTTTAGTTAGCAATTCTTTCGTTTGTAGATTCCTTTGCTTATTCTGGCTGTGAATGATGGTTTTGCTCTTATCTTTTCCTGGTCTTGGTGCTCTGGCAGAGACTGCATTTTGTTCAGTGAAAACAATTTTAAAGTTTGTCCCTGGCTTTAAAGAAAATAATGCTTAACATTTTATCATATACTATAGTGTTTTACCATTAAGTATAATGTTTGCTGCAGGTTAGGTTTTAACTTTTATTTTGGGAGAGCTCACATAGAAAACCATTTGGACTAGTTGGTTTTTTAGGTATGGGTCTACTCTATTTCTTTTTGCATTAGTCTTGCAAATTATCTTTTCCTAGAATTTGTCCATTTCATCTGTGTTTTAAATTTACTGGCATAGAGTGTATAATCTTATTGTTGTCATTTCTGATCGTAGTTATGTACCTTTTGAAATTAGTGTTTATTGTTTTTTTCAAAGACCTAGCTTTGTGGTCCATACTAGTGTTTTTTTTCTATATTTAATCAATTTCTGCTCTTCGTTATTATCTTCCTTCACTTTTTCTTTTTTACACTGTTATTCATTTTTTAATTTAAAAAATTTAATCCTCATCTGGACATGTTTTTTCTTATTGATGAGAGAGAGAGAGAGAGAAGAGCAACATTGATCAGTCGTTTCCCAATATGCCCCAACCAGAGATGGACCCCTCAACTTAGGTATGTGCCCTGACTGGAAATCAAACCCACCACCTTTTTGGTATACAGGACGATGCTCCAACCAACAGAGCCAGGGCTGTTAACCCTTTTAAAAATTATTTGACACTGCTCATTTTCCATATTTCTTCTTACCTAATAAAGTTATAAATTTCCTAATTGCAGCTTACTATTCCCCACCACCCGAGTTTTTATATGTATTCTCATTTTTTGTTTGATCCAGTTTTAGTTTCTATATGATTTTATCTTTAAGTAATAAGTTTTTTAGAAGAATGTTTAAATGTCCAAACATTTGGAGTTTATTTCGCTCGTGTCTATCATCAGGGGATATGGTCTGTATGAAATGGATTCGTTGATATCTGTTGAGATGTGTCTTGGGGTCCAGTAGTTAGGTAACTTTTTGGTAAAGGTTTCTTGTGTGCTTGAAAGTAACATACTGGACTGGGTTCATGGTTCTGTCAGAGTCCATTGATCAGGATTATTAATAGCATTAACATCTATTTTGGGGGGCTGTTTCGTCTATCAGTTACTGAAAGAGGTCTTAAATCTCCTACCATGCTACAGGATTTGACACTTTTCCTTTGTATCCTGTCACTCTTGCTTTATACATTTTCAACCCTTTTTAAAACCTCTAACATACAAGTTTAAAATTGTTACATCTTGAAAATTCTTTTCATCATTTTGTGGTGACCCTCTTAAAAAATTTTATTGATTTCAGAGAGGAAGGAAGAGGGAGAGATAGAAATATTGATGAGAGAAAATCCTGTATGTCCCTCCTGCATGCCCCACACTGGGGATCGAGCCCACAACCCGGGCATGTGCCCTGACTGGGAATCAAACCCTGACCTCTGGTTCATAGGGTGACGCTCAATCACTGAGCTAAGCCAGCTGGACTGGTGATGCTCCTTTATCCCTAATAATGCCTTTGCCTTAAAGCCTATTTTGTCTGATTTTCCTATAGATATCTTTTGGTTAGTTTTTCTCAAGTATACCCCCCCCTTTTTTTTTTTAACTTTTGGTGCCCTTAGGTCTTAAATGTCCTCTGGTAAATGGCATAGAGCTGCATTTTATTTTGCTTGATCAACTTGATCATCTCTGTTTTAATAGATGAATGTAAAACATTTCCTACCTCTGGTTTGGCACCCTTTACATACCAGTCTTTTTACTTTTCTTCCTTTTTTTCCCTTTTCTGCCTGCCATTATATTTTAATACCCTTTACCAACTTTTTCTCTTTTCTGTACTAGAAGTCATACTTTTAGCAATTCCTCTTAAGTGTCTGAAATACATGCTTAACTGTAGAAAGCTGGACAATTATCATTCTCCTCCTCTTCCTCCTCTCAAATAAACCAAGCTTCTTAGAACACCTGAGCTCTGATTACCCTCGCCAGTCTTACCTGTTATTGTGTCTCATGCTCCTTGTTTGCACTCCACAAATTAATCATCACTATTCATGTTCTAATTAAGTACTTGTTTAGATGACTTACATGTTTACCAGTTTAGCTGCTCACCATTTTCCCAACAGATGTCTTTCAAGTTCTGCAAATTCACTACAAAATGCATAGGTGCTGATTTTAGTTTTATTTATCCTGCTCTGGATTTTATGTGGTCTTCAATCAACTTTGGAAACTCTTCTTAAGGAACTGCCTCTACTATATTTCTTTTCTCTTCTGGAATTCTGATTGGGCATGAGAGTTCTCACTTCACCTTTCCACTCACTCCCTTCTACATGTTTCATCCCCTTGTTTCTTTAGTTAATTGTTTCTGATTATTCTCCAGTTCAGAGATTCTCTTCTGCTGTGTGCAATCTGCTTGCTTGCCTTATTGAGACTTGAATGTCCATAGCTCTATTTTTCAATTCTAGGGATTTCTTTGAAAAGCTCTGTTCCTTTTTAGTGACTTGCTCTTTTATGTTTTGATCTCGCCCACCCACCTTTTCCCTTCTCCAACCATAAGCCCCAAGGACGACGTTTTGGTTCTGTCATCCTCATACTGTCGCTGGAACTAACAGCCTGGCTGTGCGCTGCCAGAGGGCAGTGACAGAGGGGAGAGAGGATGCTGAGCTGCAGCCGGCCCGTGATTTCCCCACTGCGAAGCGCTGGGTCCGCTCCCACCACTGCCTCGTAGCTTCCCAATCTCTGCTCAGCCCGGCCCGGGACAGAGGGGCCACGCAGGCCATGACGTCACGCGACTGTGACGCCCCTGGGAGCCGCCACCCCTTCCTGGTGCGGGCGGGGAATCCAGGCTCTTTGCGCCCTGACGTCAAGGTCCCGGCGGGCGGGTTTTGCGTCGGCCCAATGGGAGCAGTGCGCCGGCCTCCCCTTTAAGGAATGTTGTGACCTGACGTCACCCGAGCGAGTTACCTCCCGGAGCCTCCGACGCTGGGCTCAGCGTGAGCCCCAGAGCCCTTGCGCGCGAGGTGTGGAGCCCCCGCGCCCCAGTACCGCAGCCACCTCCCCGCCCCGGAGTCCCGGCCTGCGCGCCCCGCCGGGCCCGCGAGATGCCCTCGGACCGGCCTTTCAAGCAGCGGCGGAGCTTCGGTGAGGCCTGGTGGGCGACCTGCGAATCTGGGGAGGGGGTGGGGATTGGGGAGTTGGGGGCGCGACCCAACCTCCAGCACAGGTGACGTCAGCCCTGTGACGTCAGCTTCCAGCCGGACCCCAGGCTGGGAGGCAGATTCTGACCTGGGCTGGGCCCTCCCCACCCTGTCCTGTGTCCAGGCCTGCCAGACGGCCCGGGGGGCGGGGGCTTGGGGGAGGTGGGGCCGGGCCGGGCCGCCCCTCGAGGGCCGTCGGGGCAAACGGCACGGAGGACCCAGATCCTGCCTCAGCGCCTGACCTCCTTCCGCAGCCGACCGCTGTAAGGAGGTGCAGCAGATCCGCGACCAGCACCCCAGCAAGATCCCGGTGAGTCCCGCCATCCCCGGCCATCCCGGCCCAGGCCCCGCCCAGGCCCCGCCCCGAGCTCACGCGGCCCCGCCCGCCCTGTCCCCAGGTGATCATAGAGCGCTACAAGGGTGAGAAGCAGCTGCCAGTCCTGGACAAGACCAAGTTCCTGGTCCCGGACCACGTCAACATGAGCGAGTTGGTCAAGATAATCCGGTGCGTGGGCGGCGACCCTCAGGGGGGACTTGGGTGCTGCTGGGGTGGCCAGGTCCTTCTGAGGCGTGGGAGTCGGCATAGGAGGGGCATTGGGCCCCTCTTCTGGGAAAGTTCCAGGTCAGGGATGGGTGTGAAGTGGAGGCAGGGAGTCATTTTGGGGAGGGAGTCGGCGCGACACCCCCGGCAGCCAGGCCCCTCACTGTGGGCTGCCGTCCTGTCCTCCTCAGGCGCCGCCTGCAGCTGAACCCCACGCAGGCCTTCTTCCTGCTGGTGAACCAGCACAGCATGGTGAGCGTGTCCACGCCCATCGCGGACATCTATGAGCAGGAGAAGGATGACGACGGCTTCCTCTACATGGTCTACGCCTCCCAGGAAACCTTCGGCTTCTGAGCCAGCAGTAGGGGGAGGGGTTGGAAGGGGAGAGGGGGGCCATGTCAGGCTCTGCCCAGGGAGCTCCTGGCTCCTGAGCTGAGCTTCCTCTGCCCCTGGGGGGCCGGCAGGGATGCTACCCCTTAGGGGATCCCAACCACTCCGCCTCTGCCCTGTGTGCATCCTGGGCCTGTCATGTTAGGGTTGCCCTCTGGGTGCTGGCTGGGGGACGGTGGGGAGCAGCCCCCACCACCCGCGCTCTGTCTGGTTTGTCTTTTTTACTTTAGGCCCCTGCCTGTCTGCCCCTCCCCCACCCGAGGCTCTGCTTCCCGCCTGGAACCACCCACCCTTGAAGGACTGGCCCCTGGCTCACCTGGTCTTGACATGGTGTATGGATCTGTGGTCACTGTCCCTTTGCAGAATAAAGATTGCTCAGGCCTGTCTGGCCCTTTGCCTCCAGCTGCTTGGGGAGTGGGGAGGGCTGCTGGTGGCCTGTCCCCCGCCATTCTCGGCTCACCAGTGCACAACTTGTTGTGTGGACTTACGGTTCATTCTGGAAACCCACACCCTTGTGTAGTATACCGTGGTAGTATTAGGGGCCCACACCTTCCAGGAGTGCCGTGTGGGCCCAGGGTAGACTTCATACCAAAAAAAATTTATTAAGTCAACAACCTAACAAACCCTGCTCACCTGCTTCCTCCCCTGTCCTGTCTGGGAGGGGGCTCCTTTGTGTGCAGAGCCAAAAACTGTGGGTCCAAGTGGAGGTGCGCCTGGCAAAGCCCCACAGGCCTTGCTGCCAGCCTTGGCTCTCCTCTGGTGCCAAGATCGTGACCCTGGACTTGAACCTCATCTGCCTGAGAACTTGCCTGCTGGCAATTCTGGCTAGAGGGCTTGGCCCAGCTTTTGGCCTGTCCACCCCGAGTCCGTGCAGCCCTGAGCCCAGCCAGGCCTACTTGAGCACAAGCATGGCCTCTGTGCCGTCCTTGGCCGTCAAGTAGAGACCATGAGTGAGGTAGTACTCTCGCCGCAGGAAGGCATAGAAGTAATCAGAAATCAGCAGGATCTGTGGGGGGAGAGGAGAGAGCGTGAGAAGCTTCGAGGTACCTGCCCCTAAACCTTGGGCCCCTGAGGAGCTAGGCAGGTGTTGGGGAGACCCTACCACCTCAGGATCTACACTTGACCCTGCAAGGTCTCACTGACACCTTAGAAGTGCCCGTATGGCCCTCCCTCCCTCCACCATTGTCTACACCTCCTTCTCAAGCCCTGGCCTGAACTGCAGACTGGTACTTCTGCAGCCAGACCTCACCTCGTGGGTACCCACAGGCCTCTAGGATGCACCCTAGCCAGGCTCCCTGTCAAACCAGCTTCTCCCACTGGGAACCCAGGCCCCACATCTTCCAGGTCCTCCGGCCACAGGATCACCTGATACTTCTCCCATATACACAGCCACTAAGTACTGTCAGTTCTACCTTCTAAGCCAGTGGTCAGCAAACTCAGTCAACAGAGCCAAATATCAACAGTACAATGATTGAAATTTCTTTTGAGAGCCAAATTTTTTAAACTTAAACTATATAGGTAGGTACATTGTTATTAACTTAATTAGGGTACTCCTAAGCTGGCCTTTGCTAAAAACGTCCTCAGTCTGAGGGGGACGACCTCAGCGAACATACCTCCACTTCTTCTAATGCCACTTCTTCAAAATAGACTCGCCCAGGCCGAAAACCGACTTCTGGGCATGGACCACGAAGTTTCAATCGCTCTGTACGTGCGCGCCCGCACGTGGTATTTTGTGGAAGAGCCATACTCAAGGGGCCAAAGAGCCACATGTGGCTCGCGAGCTGCGATTTGCTGACCACTGTCCTAAGCTCTCAAATCCACCCATTTCTAGCCATCTTAACAGTTACCACCCTGGACAAAGCCACTGTCATCAATAGCAGTCTCCTCTCTGGGCTCCCTAATCTCAAACCTCCCCTTCCCTCAGTCCATTTCCCCTAGCAGCCAGAGGTTGCTTTTCAAAACAAATCTGGTCATGTTAAAACCCTCTAAAGCAGTGGTTCTCAACCTTCCTAATGCCTCGACCCTTTAATACAGTTCCTCATGTTGTGGTGACCCCCAATTTCATTGTTACAAATTGAACATAATTAAAGCATAGTGATTAATCACAAAACAGTATGTAATTATATATGTGTTTCCAATGGTCTTAGGTGACCCCTGTGAAAGGGTCGTTCGACCCCCAAAGGGTTCGTGACCCACAGGTTGAGAACTGCTGCTCTAAAGGCTTCCTATGGCTAGCTAGTAGGGTGAAGATAAGCTCCCTGGGGCTCTGAGGCCTTGCACCTGGTCCCTGCCGTGTACATGCCTCACGCTCCCCTGTGTTCCACCTCACTCTGCTCCAGCCACACTGGCCTCTTCCCTCCCACTGCAGGATCTTGGCTGTTTCCTCTGGCTGGAATGCTCTCTCCACTTTCATCTAATCAACACCTGCTTGCCCCACTTCAAACTTCAGGAAGATCTTCCTCAGAAAAGCCCACCCATATGCCCCAGACTGAGTCTTGGCCCTATTAACCTCTATTTGGCAGCACAAACTCATCCAAATTGCCGTTTTACATTCGTTTCTGTGATGTCTGACGAGTGCTCCTCCCTCCCTGCACTGGGCACAATGGTATGTGCACCCAGCTCTCCGTCTTTCCTGTATGAACCACAGAATCGAAAGAGCCCTAGACGTGCAGCCCACCATCCCTCTCAGAGGCCCAGAGCAGAATTGGAATTTGCCAAGGTCCCCACATGCTGCACCTACAGTCTTACAATCCATTTGGCCCAAGCTCCCAAGACCTCCAGTGCCTGGAGCAGGAGGAGCAGGGCCAGCCCCATGGAAGGATGAGGGGAGGGGCTCACCAGTGCAGACACCACCAGCTCTCAGGCACTCAGAGGCCTCTCAGACTATCAGCACCAACCACCTCTTGGCACAGATGGGGAGACAGAAGCCCAGAGCAGGGGGACCACCCGGCTAGGGTCTTGGAGCAGATCAGAGGTTGAGCTGAGCCTCGGATCTGGGCCCTGACCCTGAGACCCCAATCCTGGGCAGCCTCTCACACTGTGGACAGGAAGGAGAGCACAGAGTGGCCTGGAGGAGGAGGTCAGAGCCAATACCAGCGATGGCTTTAGGATAAGGACACGACTGGAGCCTGTCTGGAAGGATGATGAAAATTAAGGCACAAAGGGTTCAATAGTTGGTCTAAAACTATACAGGGAGAGCTGGACTCGTGGCCATGACCCTGCAGGGCCATGCACCAGTGCGCCAGAGGGCACAGAACTCGGGCACTGTGGGTATCAGTAGAGCAGACAAAGTCCAGGAAGCCCTCAAGGCCTTGCACCACAGCTGCCCTATGGGGGCAGGTATCACAGCAAACACGGACCTCACATCCTACAGCCCCCCCCTTTTTTTAAAAAATATATTTTATTGATTTTTTACAGAGAGGAAGGGAGAGAAATAGAGAGTTAGAAACATCGATGAGAGAGAAACATCGATCAGCTGCCTCCTGCACATCTCCCACTGGGGATGTGCCCGCAACCCAGGTACATGCCCTTGACCGGAATCGAACCTGGGACCCATCAGTCCGCAGGCTGACGCTCCATCCATTGAGCCAAACCAGTTTCGGCAACAGCCCCTTTCTTACACAGGCACAAGGTTCCTGGTCTGGGTAAGCCTGTAGCTGTGGTTGAGCTGGTGGGGTCTTAGCCACTCAGCTGACTGACCTGTCCTGGCGGCCCACCAGCCCAGTGGCAGCCACTCCCTCCCTCAGTAGTCCTGCAGGTCCAATCTTGGGAGAACAAGCCAGGCACCAACGGACTGGTGCTGCTGGCACAATTGATCCTGACAGTGCTGCCAGCCTCCTGGAAACCGGCCTCAGGCACGGTGGCCACTTCCCCTCCCTAGATGCTTGGCAAGGAAGAAAGGATATAAAAGCGGCTGTCAGATGGACCCGACAACCGACGTGAAGGTCAGTGGGACAGATTCAGATGCTGGGCCAGCAAGGGCATCCCACCACATTGCGTCCCGGCAATCCCCACTTGGGACGGGCACCAGATGTAGGGCTCAGGGCTGGCAAGCGCCGCTGCAGCAGCGCGAGCCTCTCCTGATCGGGACTGACTGGGTGCGAGCCCGAGGCAGGCGCAGTGGGGCCGGGATGAGTGGGAGTGGCAGGCAGGAGCGGTAGGTGGCGTTGGACTGTGGGTTTTGGCCCGATCCCCGCAGGCCAACCCCAAGGGACCCCACCTGTGCACAAATTCATGCACCGGGCATCTAGTAGTAGTAATAATAATAATAATAATAATATATGAGCTCTCTCCTCTTGCCACCCAAGATGCCTAAGGGGAAGAAGGCTAAGAGGAAGAAGGTGGCTCCAGCCTCTGCTGTCATGAAGAAGCAGGAGGCCAAGAAGGTGGTAAATCCCCTGTTTGAGAAAAGGCCCAAGAATTCTGGCATTGGACAGGACATCAAACCCAAAAGGGATCTCACCTGCTTTGTCAAATGGCCCCGCTACCTACATTCGGCTACAGCAGCAAAGGGCTATTCTCTATGAGCATCTGAAAGTGCCTCCTGCCATTAACCAGCTCACCCAGGCCCTGGACCGCCAAATGGCTACTCAACTGCCGAAGCTGGCCCACAAGTACAGACCAGAGACAAAGCAAGAGAAGAAGCAGAGAATGGTGGCTCAGGCTGAGAAAAAAGCTGCCAGCAAAGGGATGTCCCCACCAAGAGGCCACCTGTCCTTTGAGCAGGGGTTAACACCGTCACCACCCCGCAGTGAGAGAACAAGAAGATTCGGCTGGTAGTGACTACACACAATGTGGATCCCATCCGGGTGGTGGTCTTCCTGCCCTGCCTGTGCTGGCAGATGGGGGTTCCCTACTGCATGAGCAAGGGGAAGGCCAGGCTGGGTGTCTCGTCCACAGGAAGACCTGCACCACTGTTGCCTTCACGCAGGTAAACTCGGCAGACAAGGCAGCTCTGGCTAAGATGGTGGGGGCTATCCAGACCAATTACAAGGACAGATATGATGAGATCCGCTGCCACTGGGGAGGCAATGTCCTGGGTCCAAAGTCGGTGGCTCCCATTGCTAAGCTGGAAAAGGCCAAGGCCAAGGAGCCGGCCACTAAGCTGAGCTAAGTGTGCACTGTGGAGTTTTTTGTACATAAAATAAAAATTCTTCTCCAGCCTAAATAAATAAACTATGAAGATAATCCCCCTTCCAGAAAGTAGAGCTTAATTCTTGCCCACTACCACCCCCTGCCCCTGGGGTGGGCTAGGCTTGGTGACTCGCTCCCAAGGAACAGAGCAGGGGCAGGGAAAACGGCAACTTCCCCCTCGAGGAGCCTGGAAACAGGGGAACCAGACGATGAAGGGTAGCAGCATGGAATCAGGTGCCGGCAGGTACTACTGCCCGAGTGTTCCAGAACCCACACCTGGTCTCATGATGACAAAAGCATCAGCCACACTGGAAGTGGGGGCGCCCGACAGGCTCCCTGGCCAATGCTCCTCAAGACAGTCCAGGTCATGAGAAATGAGGAAAGTGAGCAGAGGACACAGGGAGACTTGACAACTAAATGTAATGTGGTGCCTCTGACTGGGTCCTAGGAGGCCATGACAGGGAAAACTGGGAAATCCACATCAAGTCTGGAGTTTACTTAGTAATAATGGACCAGGGTCAGTTTCTTGGTTTTGACAAATGCATCATGGTAATATAAGATGTTAACACGGAATAGTGGGTGTGGAAGCAAGATCTAGAGACAGAAAACTGCTTCCTGTGGCAATCATTTTCTATGTGGCACTTTCCAACTGAACAAAGCTTTCCCCACCCAACCCCTCACAACCCCCTCTAGGCTGAGGAAACTCAGGCAACCACCCCCTCTCGTCAGGTTGAAACAGCCTCCTCCCTGGGCTCAGGTTCCAGCTTACAGCCCTCACCTCTCTTCCCTTCCTGGCAGAGTGAGGCTTTCAGAGCATGAATCTTATCGCAGTTGTCCTCAGCTTAAAACCAGAGCTCAGCCTGGTCCTCAGCA